AGTTTAACAGAGTTGTAAATTGCAAAATGGTCTTTTACTTTTAGCAGTTCTTCATAACTTCACCATGACTGATTAATTGAATGAGAGCGATGAAAAGAAGTTCCTGTACTCTGCCATAAAGGAGTTTGGGGGTGGATTTCTATCAAATTGATACGGCAATTTCATTGCAAAATCTATTTTTGTCAAGTTGACAATTTCGAGAACTAGAGATTCCTTAACGATCGGCTTGAAAGCCTTTTCGAGTTGTGCGGCATTTTGTCTTTTCAAGCTTACTTACAGTGGAACGAGGAAAAGGGCAACACATTGGTGAGTAGCCACCAACTTTATCACTGAACGGCTGTCTACACTTTCTATGTGATGAAATGTGCATGAAAATGTGCAGCGCCGCGACAACATAATCGCAACTGGATGGAAAGTTGTTTACGAAGTGCTGATGAAATAAGGCATCACATTGTAGTAAGCTTTACCCCACAGCATTCTTTTGATGAGGTGACGGTCCAGTGGCTCGCACTCTCTGCAAATCTCACTTTTGCATGTTTACGCAGCATCCAACGTTTCTACAAACTGAAACATAAGAAGGGGTTAGGGACCAAGAGGTTTGGGGCTGGAAACCCTTGAGTTTCGCTAGCTCTCTCACTTTTCAGACCTGTAAACAGATAACAACTAATTTCGGAACAGTTTCCTTCAAGCTTTATATTTCGAGGTACATTCCAGAGTGTCACATGCAAGGGGGAGCGGTAGCATGGCACAAACCACGGGGTCGAAGACTGGTGAAACTTAGGGCTTCAAAATACACACGCGCATCAATACGTTTCTTCCAAATGTAAAAATATGACATTCAGACTGGAGGGAACTCGTACGACGGATTTCCTTGGATGCCTACAACTCAAGGGAGTTAGAATTTTGAAAACTGCAATGCTCATGGCCATCGAGTAAGCACTTGCTATTGAAGTCAAACGGAGAGATAATAGTTCGCATTCTTTTACACCTAGCAACCCCTTTACTTGCTGCTTTAAATAGGCCTTTCTATGGCAACTAATCTGTACATATCAAAGCGATTTGTTTTCCATAACTTCACGAAGAGATTCCTGATTTGTGGAAAATCCAACTCCAACCGACTGCACTGACACTACGACTTAAACAGTGATGAGTACTTTTTGTCAAATTAAACAATGCTAAGTTGTTCATTCGAGAATGATAAGTCGGAGTCGGTATCAACGGTTTCACGTTCCATGTGGTTCTATTACAGGCACACTTTTAAGTTTTGCCCAGATCCTGGGCAAAAAAAACTTGTTCATCGCAATCCACCTGTTCAAATGCGACATCACAAACTGTAGGCGTTAAACTTTAAGTATTTTGCCATACATGAATGATTAACAGACTCAGGTAAGCAAGTCCCGCAGTTGCACACATGTGACGGTTGTGGCGAATGGCGCCAAGCTATCCCCACCAATTTTTAGCAGGACAAATGATTGAACACCCATTTTCTTACCGTAGACAGTGTTGCTGAAACCACTACTTGGGCAACACAGCATTTCCTATCAATGATAAGGCAGAACTGATAAGAACTATTCCATCAGAGTACAAACAAAAAGCAGACTATTCCTTTGCCCCTTTTCAAACTCTTTCTCCCATTTACTCTTGGCGTAACCGCTTTCAAGCTTCAGTACGTGACCTCCACAAGGATCGCTTATGCGGCAAATTGTTATATTAAGCGCAAACTACTTTATTTTCCTAATTCCACGTATAAGATTCGTTACTATCGAAAAGGACGAATACGAAATCTTAAATATCGTTCTCATAACATCCTCTGTGCTGTGATGTCTTTCAAGGTAAATAATGGAAATCTGGAGTCGGTGAAAAATGTCAAAGGGATGCGAATGAACAAAAAGTTGGCATAACATCACCGGTGCATGCAAATACGTGTCACGGCTTCCTAGATGCTTACTCAGCCATAAAGCACCAAATTGTTATAATGATTAGTTTTGTCAAAGACGGCATAATGGAAAGTGTATGACTCCAATCCGAAAATAGCTACTCCTTGCGTTTAGACTTACTATTCTACTTCGAAGAGAAACCTAAAACACAATATCTGCCACACCAGACACCAAACTTGTAATTGGCTTCCCTCATAAAGCACATTTGTCTAGAGATCAATGATACAGATCAACACATCACATTTAGTTTGTCGAAATCAAGCCCTTACACTTCTGGCAGTAAAAAATTCAAAGTATTATGGTTCGCTGCCGAGCTTGTCTAAAAAAGAATATGTACAAAAAGGGAACTAGTCAAATCGGCTACTTCCGTTTGACACGAGTCTTGACGCGAGCAGCAAGATCAAAGCGAGGCCGTTTGCCCTCCATAGTGGCAGCTAGCAAGTCCGTGACTGTGTCGGAAGAAGTCGGCGGCGGTGGTGTCCATTTGGAGTGCAGAAAGTCGTACAACTTCTGAGCACAGTTACTTAAATTCAGAAATAATAATAATAAGTCCTACTCGTTCATTATAAGTACAAATGTGTTTAAGATCAAACAGAGGCATGAAGTGAATAAGGTCCTACAAGCGAACCTGTTTTCCAGAATATCAGTGAGGCGTTCCAAGCTAAAACCTGCAAGGTCGGCAATCGAGTCGATATGTGCCATCACACGTTGATAATTACGCCAAGAAATGCCTGGTAGTCTTAGGAGCATTTCTACAGCCTCAGCATTCTCCTCACCCAGTCCATCGCTGTCCTTAAAAACAAATTATGGGTAATCGCGCTTACCTAATACAAATTAGTAGTGAGTGTTTTATAAGAAGAGAGGACCCGTTTGGGACGCGATTAACCCTAGGCCTGTAGAGAAATGGGCTATCCATCATGCACCTCAATCATGAGTTCAAATGAATTTCATTGACCATGGAGGTAGAGTGACTCATAACAATAGCCAATTTAGTCAGTGCTTTTGCTGCAAAAGCAAAGCTCCAAGGTATCTCAAGCAATTTTTTGATGCCGAAGCGTATAGACATAATTGGTAAATAATTCAGGACAAACGCAGCATCTTAATGACTGGCAAAATATTAAAACATACATTATAACCCAAAAGCTTAGTCAAGAAAGCTGTATGCAAGACTTGCATAAACCACAAATTAAAAAAAGTTGTGTTAGAAATTCAATGTCGTCTCACTCGGGGCAGTTGCTCCAAGGTGGGTTCTGCTCGTCCCACCTTTAGCTCTGCGAACAACTCCGCTGTGCAATATGGTGTAACACTCCAGAGCACACGTAAGCGTGGAAAATGGAGTAGAAGGAGAACTAGACGCGGCAGCAGATGGTGTGGGTCCAAATCCGTTCTTGCGTCAGCCGCCACCACAGCATTTCGACCCGTGAATAGGGCAAAAGACCCAGCCATGGCAGGAGAAGCGGTGTTTTGAAATCGCGGCGGCTTGTAAGCAACACCTACAGAGTCAACCTTCCCTTAGTTCTCGCCTTGAATTTAGCACCAGATGTAGTTACCGCAAAGCGCAATAGATTTAATCAATTTACATCGGATGGGGACAAGTTGTCCAGTAAATTTGACAGAAATAATCACTTACCGTTGGCAGGCATCGAGAACTCAATTAGTAGAATCGGATTTAAGTAGTGTCTGGACATTGCAGTGCACTGCTGAAACAAACGACCTGAGTTCAACGAACCGATCAAGTCAGCGACCGATTTCCGTTCCACACAAATGTGCGGTGCCAAAATATAATCTCCGATTGTCAAAGTTATGGGAGTTACCTTAACAGAAGCATTTTTAAAACGGGATAGAGATACAATCACTTAACTACACTTGAGTGAACTAACTGTGACCCCACAATCCTTTCTATTAAGGTCTCAAAATCTACGTACACCTTTAGTAAATTTCTTCCCAGATTGTAGTCCGTATTGACACTTAGGGGTAGCCTCAGTACGACAATGATTAAAGTGCCAATTATTCAAATAAGCGCAGCTAACGGAGGTATATAGAGAATGACATTTGTTATGAATAGGCGGAAGGTAACTGTCGAAACTACGACAGATTCAGGTAGGCGCCATAATTTTGAGCAACCACAAAGAAAAATCAAATTGAGACGAGAGAAAAGTTTGTTTAGAGAGCACATAAAGCGACTGCGCGACAAGGCAGAAATGAAGACCCTAAGAACAACATTAAGAGATTCAACTCATTGTCCTTGTGGATGAGTTACAAATGGGAACGAATTCTAGCACTTAAGTAGTTGGTTGTACTGGAATGTACAGATTTGAACTACTCACTCTCAAACCTTTTCGATGTAGAAGAGCCGGTAGCTGGCTTCGAAATTCACGGACATCTACAAACACAGTTGGTGCCGGGGCAGATTCCGAAGGATTTTCAGCTTCAGCTCCAACAGAGGGGACGGATATGGACGGTTCCACTTTCTTCACCACAGCGGAGGCACGTAAGGTGATTAAGCTTTCAAAGGCCTCTTTCTCCTGAAGCGGTGAGTCCATTATCAGACGTACATCAAGTCACTGACTTGGGCTTCAATGCAGTGTCAGTTGCCAAAATCTCAGAGAAAACCGATCAATACATTCCAGACCCTTTATTGTCCTATCGATGATAACAACTGGTCCTAGGAACCAAAAAGTTTGGCCTAACAAACTAAGACCGATCCGCATCTAATTAATTGCCTTAATCTCAGGTGAATCGGTAGTAATTAGATGAGCAAACATTCGGCAAATGTCTAGTGAAGCAGATTACGATGAAGAAATTGAGGTCATGTTATACAGGTCAGGGTCAATAATGCATTGAACCTACTCTTGCCTGTCTCAGTAAAACAATTGACCAAGGCAAAACTCCGAAGTCGCGAGTTTGTGAGGTAAAAGTTTAAATCCTGTAAAGCTAAATTGGCTTACCCGCCTAAGTCGCGTAAGATATCGTTGTTCCTCTACAGAATCCTTATATACCATGAAGTAAACATTGACAGGATGTGAATCCAGACTTTCACAAGTTCGACGTCTGGCTTCCTTAGCGGCATAGACCTCCACCTCCCGAATCCACGACACGCGAGGCTCGAAGAAAATTACATTACGTGGTCGTAGACGCGCCAACACTGCTCCTAGTCGTCCAGCTGGTCCATCTAGGCTTCTACTATCCGTTGACATCAGTGCTCCTTCCTCCCCACACCCTGGTGGTGGAACACGAAGAATTACCTGAAGTTCCTTTCCTTCCGAAGTAGTAAAGGTAACCGCAGAGCATCCAGCTGGTAAATCCAGAGCCGAATCTCCCAGATCCACCACCTCTGCCGCTTTTGGCTCTTCCGGCAGTCTTGAAGATTGCGGCTTTAAAGAAATATCGGGTTCAGTGGATTTGAAACGCTTATCAGGCATGCACGGAGCCCCGGTGCAGGCAATAATCTGCTTTGATCCGCTTCTACCTCGACGAAAATATGCAGACACTGTGGGTTCACTATAAATTTCTGGTCGATTATTTTTTGTAGGAGGTTCCGTTTCGAACGCTTCTGACGGGTGTTCATAAGCCGACCTTCCCTGTACCAACCAATCTTGTAACTTCACTTTTCCATGACGTACGTAGAATTCGAGGATTTCAACACTTCGCGCATGCCTAAGAAGAACAAGAACGGGACATTTCCACTGCTGATCGTCTACAATCTTGAGGACCACGTCGTCTAGAACTGCTTTGATTGCTGCTAGTTTCGGTGGCACTTCTACTGCATAGGTTCCTAAAAAGGTAATAAATCAGACCTCAAAAAATTGCACTTTTTTCGTAGTTTTTGTACACCCGGCTTCGGGCCACAGATAGCAGTTGTTCGGCCTGACTCATAAGGAGCCAATTAGCACAATTTCCACCCCTCCGAAGAGATGAAATTTGAGCCGAATTGCTCATTCGAAGCGATGAAAGTTCAGCTTGACGAAGGTCTTCCAAAGCATCCAAAAAGGTAATTGCATCAGAGTCAATAAGCAGGAAAAGAAGACGCCTCAAGCCAGCAACGTCAGCCAAAAGACGGTGACTAGTTTGCGTTAAATGGTGCCAAATGGGATCAATATATAAACTAGTCTGGGAAAAAAGGGTTCATAAAAAAATGGAGGTAACCAAACCAGTTGATGAAATGAATTGGTCAAAGCTGATTCAAGAGAAAATTCATCGTTATTTAGGATGGGATTGATATCTACCAGTTCATGAAGAGTAGCTTTAATCATCTCCAAAAGACACCGTTGACAAGTGGAACTTTCCTCCGTCAAAAAGACCTAAAATTGTTGGTAAACGCTTTAAAATAGGTAAAGAAGCACCTACCTGAACTTCTTCGACGTTTAAAGGACAATTCGACAATGTGTTGACCACATCCAAATTAAACCTCGGCCAAAGTAGAAGCCTTGAAATACCAAACTGATTCATAAGTTGTTCGACTCGGTTATAACCAGACATCAAAGCAATGGCGTTATCCGTAAATGCCTTTATAAAAATTTGTGGATTCTTTTCCCGTAGCAACCGAAGCACAAAGGACTCCTGACTAGCCTCATGAAGATTATGACACCGCAAAACAAGCACCCCAGTAACGAGTTCAACAGGCATTGTTCCCCGAAGTAAATCCACAACAAGAATTCGAGAACTGACAAAAACAACACCACCACGGCGGTAGGCTTCAAGGCGCTCCTGAGTGTTAACATCTGCCGTGATTATAAAAGGGTCGTATGCTTCGTTTTCAAGCACGAATTTAGCCTTGATATACTTGGCTTCTGGGAGAGAATAATTTGATATCAACACCAAGTTATGCGGATCATTGTGCAGCTTAATAAGTGTATATATTATGGTGTCGAGATCAAGTCCCTCTGCACAAACGAGCATACAGCTGTCTTCATTGACGTCAAGGAGAATGTTTTTCTCATAGTCCAGTAGTACAGACATGGAAAGTTGAGGCTAGCGCTGCACATAAAGGTTAACTAGCGAAATTCGTCAATCCGTAATCGTGCCACAACCTATACATCTTCAAATAAAACA